GTACAACAAAAATACATCTGCTATGCGCAACCATCTGAAGATGAGACACCACAGCTAGCACTAGCAGTAATGCTAGCACCAGTGAGCAACGGACCGGCGTCAGCACAGGACAGAGGCAGACGAGCAGCAAAAAAAAACGGGTCTACAGTGATGCGGATGATGAGCTAGGGTTTACTGCCAGCGGACACTGCATATCCCCACAATGGATAACCCACTGGAGTGGTGGGCAGAAAACGTGCAGCGCTTCCCCCTGTTTAGGCAAGCTTTCGAGGAGCTACCTCAGGGTGGCTACCACAGCCACCCCGAGTGAGAGGGTTTTTTCCCTGGCAGGCAACGCTGTCACCCGAAAGCGGTCAAGCCTCCTTCCCTCACATGTCAATGCGTTGGTGTTCCTCAACGCAAACCAAAAATCTGGAAAGGTGGACGTTATCGTGGAGGACAGCGAGTAAAGTGTTGCGTGTTGCGCTGTTGCGCACTGGATTTACGTAGCATTTCAGTAAACAGAGTTTTTTGCTGTCGATTTAGGTGAGTCCAGTTACTGTTTGTTATTTACTAAGTCCAGTTACTGTTTGTTATTTACTAAGTCCAGTTACTGTTTGTTATTTACTAAGTCCAGTTACTGTTTGTTATTTACTAAGTCCAGTTACTGTTTGTTATTTACTAAGTCCAGTTACTGTTTGTTATTTACTCAGCCATTTAACACAAACTAAAATGCAGTGTTTAATGTAACTGTATGAGTTCCGATATAAAATACAGTTGTACACCTCTTTTTGTGTGTCTTTATTATGACGTAACGACTAGTCGACTGCTATTTTGAAAAACGTGTCGACTAGTAAATATTGGTAGTTGTGAAACCCCTATCTCAGGCGTTATTACAATCAGCTCAACACACCAGGAAGGATCAGTAACGGCTGCTTTATATCTCCAATTGGAGCTGCTGTGTAAATCACATTATGGGACAATATGTTACTTAACACTTAGTGTGAGAAGGAAGCTAAGCCGAGAGCATGATCACAAGCTATTTCTGGATAGGTGCACGCACATTGGCACAATGACACACACACACACACACACACACACACACACACACACACACACACACACACACACACACACACACACACACACACACACACACACACACACACACACACACACACACACACACACACACACACACACACTTACCCCCTGACAGTCTGCTATGTAGCACTATTCCATCACACTATGCTCAGCACTCTGTCACTCTGACAGTTTTATTTGATGATCGGAGGGTACAACCCTGCCTACCTCACGCAGTTAGTCACCGATTTACAAGCAAACACACGAACAAATCACTGCCATGAGTTGATTTTGATATCTGCTGCATGTGTTTTTAGTGAGTGTGCAATATGAAGTGGGCAGAGATAGATGAGAATACACATCATTTTTTTCCTTCTAAGTGTAATTGTTATTATACCTGCCAATATTTTCGTAGTATTTACATAGTAACATTTGCAAATAAATGTGCACAATAAGCTGTTGACAGGTCCGAGAAACACTTCTGACTGAAAATATGTAGACACTTTCACATCTTCATAACGTCGTCACACATTCATGGGAGGAAGATTAAACATGTCCGTCTTAAGTAGTCTAAAATTATCCGGGGACATTATGTCAACAAGATAGCGACACATTTACACGCTGAAAGAAGGTAGCAGATTTAATATAGGCCGCACATGTATTTATTACGGTTTTTTAATGCAGCCTTGCATCACTTCGTACGGTATTAAAGAAACAGACGTTATTTCCATAGCAGTTTATAGTATAGCTTTGGCAAATAGATCTCTAAATAGCTAAATCAGACCCTTGATGCTTTAATACATGCATCACAACCTGTGAAAAAAACACGTGGTGATGGATTCATGTAGCTGACATTTCAAGTGGTACAAGGCCTCAGTTCTCTATTAAGAACGGCTCCTCTTTCCCTAAGGACGGCTACAGTATACTTCAGAACAAAGAGAAATAAATGGCTCTAACCAGTGTGTGTGTGTGTGTGTGTGTGTGTGTGTGTGTGTGTGTGTGTGTGTGTGTGTGTGTGTGTGTGTGTGTGTGTGTGTGTGTGTGTGTGTGTGTGTGTGTGTGTGTGTGTGTGTGTGTGTGTGTGTGTGTGTGTGTGTGTGTGTGTGTGTGCTCTCACAATAAAATACATCTAAACCGAACTTCCAAATATAACTTCAAACAGCTCAGAGTCAATGTTTGTTCACCTCGCTGTCTCTCATTCCCAAAAGACACAGCGCTTCCAGTATACACTCACTTAAACAACGGTTTACTTTCGTAACTGACGGATGTTTGATCAAGGGAAGAAAGCATTTAAAGAACTCTAAGTGTCCTTTTTCTTTTCTTGTTACCTTTATAGAATCTAAATCCTCTCAAAATGTTTTTACAGAAAGACAAACCAAAACTTAAACAGGTCAGACATGCACCAGTTGTAATGGACTTGTATCTGAATTAAAAGCAAGAAGAACACTTGTTGGCACATGCAATATGGAAGCTGGATTTTAATGAGCATTGTGTCTTGCTTATTGTAAACAATTCTGTCTTTATAACAGGAGAAATATGTTAGCGTCAGACTCTGCACAGTGATTAGATTCCCATGATATTGTGGTGTTATGTGATCGTTTGTCAAGGTAACAGCTTACCTGTGTCATCATGGAAGCATTAACTTAACCCAGTGGTTCTCAAACTTTTTCTGTCAGGCCCCCCCTTTGGAGAAAAAAAAAAAGTCGGGCCCCCCCAACACAAATAGTCAGGCTCAGTGGCGGCGCCAGAGATTTATTTTGGGGTGCTGTGGGGTAGCTTGACGTTTCATAGAGGGGGCTCAAACATTTAGGGTTTCCCATTAATGTACCGGGCGCTACAGAGGAATTTTCTACTGCAACAATCCCCACGCATATACACAATGTACCCGTGACTGTTACAATGAAGGCTCGATAATCAGCTCACGGCATATAGGTGTAAGCAGGGGTAAAGTGCTATTTTTATAGGTGGTGTGTGGACCTCACATAGGGGGGTCCGGGGGCAAGCTCCCCCGGGAAGATTTTTAAATATTGAAGTTAAAAGCATCAATCTGGTACACTTTGAGAGCAAAATGAAGAGATCTATGGACATCTCTCAACACCCATTTGAAACAGAACTGGAAACAGATTTACTATTTCTTTATGGATATTTTACAAATCACTCCCCTTTTAAACTTTATTCTTTTTTTACTGTCATATAGTATTTCATACCTGTTTTTAATTTATTCTCTTATTTTTTTATAACTATAATGATCATATAAACGTGTGCCTCGGAAATAATTGTTTACATTAATGGTGACCAAACGTTTGAGACCCACTGAGATAACACTGAGAGAGTCCTTTAGCTCACTGAGTCTCTCAGTCTGACAGGAGAGGACTCTCCTCCACTTTGTTGTTGAAAAAACTCCTTACAGTATATCCGTTAGCGTAGCTCGCTAGCACCAGAAGCTAACAACTACGATATCCGGTACCGGTGCGCTCTCTCTCTCTCTATGAGTGCATGCACACAAAATGGCTCGTTCTACACACACACACACACACACACACACACACACACACACACACACACACACACACACACACACACACACACACACACACACACACACACACACACACACACACACACACACACACAGAGCCGAGCTTTAATGAAACACAGAGAACCAGACGTAATAGTACTGTATTATATTATTTCCAATCAATAATTTTTCAAAATATGGATTATTATTTTTTTATCTTTTTTTTTTTTTTTTTAATAACCATTTCCCCCCCTGGTCTCTCGCGCCCCCCCTGTCATGCCTCTGCGCCCCCCTGGGGGGGCGCGCCCCTCACTTTGAGAACCACTGACTTAACCCATAAACACATCATGACTCTATCATTTCTGTGTTGTTGCTCTGCTTCATTGTCTCATCACTCTTTGTCTAGCTTTTTCTTTATTCATTTTCCTTTAAGCAATCTACCTATGACACCCTCACTTAGATGTGACTAATTACTGTTATGTTTTCTAAATGAAAAACCAAAAATAAAAACAGTTTTCAAACAGGTTTGCATGAAACCTTTGCGTAAGATCTCTTGTGATAACACTTTGATGAGACCTTTGCAGATAGATGCACGAGATTCTTAAGGCGGTACATCTGTAATCACAGCAGGTGCCCAGAAAAACAGCAAACGACCTCTTGCACTGCATGACTCATTTTGAATTGAACCCATGCTGCAGTTAGAACAAATCATGCTTAGTGAATCATTTCTATGTTGGGGTTATTCAACAAATTAGGATTTTACACTCATTTTCAGGTTCATATTTGTACTTTGCGGCTCTAATGTGACACGTCTCCATGCTGTAATGTTCAAAAAGCTCTTTATTTTTCTCATACTGCCTGTTTTCAGACCATGCACTAAAACCTAAACAGTCGAATATACTACATTCAAATAAACACAGTATAGTGGATAGTTCACCCTCCGTCTGAAACCAGAGCCCAGTCTGCTCTGATTGGTTAGCTGGCCGGCTCTAATGTGATTGGTCAACCGCTTAGTGATGTCTGCGCCTTAGCCTATCACGTATAACGTGTTGGAATGCTAGCCTAGTGTGAAGTAAACAAAGGAGTCCAATTGAGGCGTTTCAGGCAGGGGGGGGGGGGGGGAGTGTGTGAGAGAGAAACTCCCTCTGGAGGGAGCACAGGGATTTTAGCCTTTGCAGACCATTTACATACACAACAACCTAGAAGACACTAGGGAAAACCACAAAAGCATATAAGGCCTCTATAAAGCAGATTTGTAAAAGCAGACATTCTTTCATGCCTTTGTTTCCCCGTTTTTATTTTGATTATACCCCTGCTATAAATGTAGGGGCTGTCTCTATTTTAGGCATATACTCATACAGCTTATGAGGGTTGTGTGTGTGTATAGCATTATAGGTGTGTGTGTTCTCCTCTGACTCACCGTCCAGCCTCCTCCATCTGTGGTCATGTCGCAGTAGACCTGGAAGCCTGCAGGGTGGTGCACAGGGAACACGGAGTAGATGCCGTCCTCTCGCTGGCCGCTGGCGTACAGATCACCGCAGTCACGGGGACGCGAGCCTGGGGAGAGGTGAGAGGACGAGACATGAAATAAATTAGCTCCAATATGGCTTGCACAGGGAACGATTGCTAGGAGCGGGAAAGTGGAATCAGTAATATGGAGAGGATGAGGAAAACATGATATAACACTTTCAGCACTCTGACCTCTGTCTGCAGCAGGGGGAAAGAGGCATATGAGTTAATTAGATACTAAAAGAGCAGCTCTGGTTCTATGTAGTGATACAGGCTAATTCAACAACTCGATAATGAATTGTCTTTCCATGTAATTGTGAGGAAATAATATATCAACAAATGATACACCATTAAATCGACCAAATTGAAATAACAAGCATACAGTACGAGATAGTTAGACTAGGAAAGCAGTTTCTCCTTGATCCTACATTTGGAAAAGTTCATTTGCGTGGCTTATAGAAGTCATTTGTATATGCACATCATTATTTATGATTTATGGAATTTTATTGTGTATTCTCTATATACAGTGTTTATTCTCTATATACAGTGTTTATTCTCTATATACAGTATATATATATATATATATATATATATATATATATATATATAACTTGTTTGTTTTGACGTATTAATCCTTTTTCAAAGCTTGGAAGTATATTCAATTAAATGTAATAATAACTCACACTTCATGGGATTTTATTTTAGACAAGGGATTTGTTTGACAACACATTTCACATTGGCAGTGATTTCATGCAATAGAACATTTTATTGTCTCTATACTGTAATTTCCCTTGAAACTGTGATGTTCATTTTCTACTAAGTTCAGAGTTAAATGGTAAATCAACCAGAACTTCAAACTTTGAATTCACATGCTAAGCGAAACATAATATATTGTGATAAATATCGTTATGGAGATATGAGAAGGCCTATATCATTAAAGAAGATTTTGGCTAATTGCCCAGTCCTAATATGAAGTCATCCTATGAAATTAGAACCTCAAAGTCTAGTATTAGTCAATCTCTTCCTGATAGATTGTCTCAAGAAGATCAATGAGGAGGAAGAGTACGGCTGTGTGGAAAACATAGACTCAAGAAAGATAGATGGTGAGATGAATGGGGAGCGGGTGATAGATGACACCGTGGGACAACGGAGGCTAAGTGCGGCAAAGATCAAAAAGTAAAAAAAAGACGGAATGCAAGTAGGTCGAAATGAAGACATGGAGGGTGGACGTGATCGTGCAGGTTGCAGACGCAGATGTATAGCACCGACGCAGATGTATAGCACCGAGGCAGATTTCAGATAACACACGTTGTAGGAAGAAGGAGGAAACAAAACACATAATGGAGCACGGAGAGGAAGATAAGTGGTAAAGTTATGACATGTATTGTTAGAAAAATATCTCTCGTCACCGGCTTGAGCTTCAATATCAGGATCCATGTATTCATTATCCTTGCAAGAATGGAAGTAGTCATCACATACAGATCATTTGGTAGAACTAGTTCCTGAACAGTGTCCTTCACATGCTGATATACAAGAGAGGGAGTTACACAGTCACAAGATGGAGGAATACCGGTTCAAAGCAGTATACTATGCTTAGTTCAGATTAGCTAAAACCCACATCAGAAATGATCATGCTTGTCATCTGTCTATCTCCATAGAGGCTGAATCATCATGTTAATCACATAGCCAGTGGCGGCGCCAGGGTATGGCTGGGGTAGGCTACAGCCATACCAAGAAATGGCTTAGCCCTACCTTAGCCCGACCATGACAAATTATGTTAAAGTAAGCATGTTGAGAACACGGATTGCGAAAATCTACCGGTCGTGTCCACAACACACAAACTGATCCTGCTGTAACAACAAGTGCACGTTACTGACGTGCTTACTGACTTTTGTCTAGTTTCTGAACAGATATGAGGAGCTGTGAGCTCTGAGTGCTAACAGCTAACGGCTGTGTTGTTTTTCTGGGGCTCTCATTGAAGATGACGTCACGGCTCCGCCTACACTGCGTTACTATAGTAACTACTCCAGTTCCTAAACTGTAATGGAAGCGCAGCATTAAAGTGAGCCGGTCAGTATTGTTTATGAAGCAGGGTATAGAAAGTACATTATTGAAATAAAATACAATTTATTTACTTTTACAAACAGGTGAGTAGCTGGGCAGCTGCAGCATGTGTATTGCAGGACATGTGTAAGCGTGCAAGCGTCTTTGAGTTGTAGAAAAGCTCTAGGCCTATAGGCTATAAATATAATGTATTATTATTATTATTAGGCCTATGTGTTGGACATGTGTGGTTGGACTGTGTCTCACAGGCAGGTTGCAGTGTAATATCAGAGGAGACTGGGCCAATTGTACATTCTCAAACTGCACCACTTAGAACTAACTAAACAATGCAGAGATTATTTTTATATAATTGTATTCAATAACCGTAAGAAATTAAACAGTATGAAGTGATTTGTAAATAGGAATACAGATTTTACTTAATGTTTTCATAAATATATTTTTCTCCCAGTTTGTCATGGGACTTATTTTTACCCTCTCAAAGAACCGGAATCTAGAACCGAAAATAACCGGAATCGAAAAACATAACCGGAATCGTTAAAATCCAAACGATACCCAACCCTATGTGTGATAAAGTCAAATCTATACCGCTCACTCACGTTAGCGGTGTCGTAAAAAACGTGGGAAAATGTCAAATACGATGGCGAAGAAGAAGATTCCAGTGGCCCCAATTTTTGTCCATTCTAGACAAGTGAAAAATGTATTCGGACAAGTAAATTGCCAAACTCACTTGTCCATGGACAAGTACTCTCTAAAAACGTTTTCTCACACTGATAACACACAGAAAGACAGACAGACAGATTCAGGAAACATTGCAGAGAAGAAGGGGGAGGGAGCCTTTAAGCTATAGAAAAGCAGAACAGCACCCTTTACTGTGACTGACAAACATGTTTTACACCATGGAGATATATTCCCCAGGAACTCTGTGATGAAGGCAGTGGGTGTTTCTCAATGTCGAGGATGCTTGCTTGGTAGCACATGTCTTCCGAGTCACTTGCTTCAGAAGCGAGGCAAGAATCCTTCCTAGCCTCAGAAAACGAAGAATTGTGGAACAGGCTAACAGGTGTGCAGGTGTGCATCATATGAGAGGCCCTGCCTTAAATGGAGCGTGATTTCCGCCAAAGATTTGGAAATTGGTCCGTGCGCAAAGCATTGTGGGGATTTTAAGACCGCGGAGTCTACATGTGCAGCCTCGAAATTTCTCGCTACGAAGTACGCCAGACTGGGTAGAATTCAAAGTATGCTGGACATTGGAACAGTCCTTCGGCGGCACTCAATGACGTAGTATGCTTGAAATAGTGGCTCTGGAGCAGCCTTCCTCGACATTGAGAAACACCCACTGTCACAGTGCGCTTCAACCTTAGAATTGTTGAAATGTTAAACAGCTAGAGTATTTGAGAAGGCCACACAAGATGTTCTCACAGGCTCTACACGATATAACATGTTTGGTCTCCGTGTTAGCCTCCACTTCTGCGCTCCGACTTTCATCCCCATCACATATAATTGCTAACATTTCCCAGTTCTCCTTTTCATTACAGGAAGCTCAAGCTGTCTGGCTTCCATGGGAAATTACTAAAAGAGACTACCATTATTAGTGAGGCATTTGGATCTTTGAAACTAGGGCTTTCAAAATGTTCAGTTTAATGATCCCTTACAGCAACAAAAAGTATTCCTTACACAGACCCATTCCACGATTATACTGACACTCCACCTCTACTTCAGCTTCCAAGCTTTTATTTTACACAGAATAAGATTGTTGGTCTTCTTATGTGACCTAATTGATTTACAATCCATACCTACTGTATCTATTCCAGTGACAACACACTGACATGGTGTTTCAGAAAAAGCTTTTATATGTCCTTTGTTTCTGGTCATGGCTTCATGAGCTTTTATTGTAACTTCTATCAATGTAGTTGTCAGTATGTCAGTCACTGATAGTTTCTGTAATGTCAGAGCCTGCTCTCCCCTCCCTCTCAGGTGTTAGTCACCAGGGTTTACTTCAATAATTCATCCCTCCTGTGTATCTCTTGCCAAGTGTCCCTCCTGTTGGCGAATATGAACACTGTGGACTAGGGTAGAGTACACTAAGGATTATGTTCATTATTGATCAATCTTATTTTTATTTCTTTGATTTATAGTTTGTTCTTTAAAGTGTAGAAAATGTGAAAAAAGTCTATTCCAGTGTCTCAAAGGGAAAGGTGAGCTCCAAAACTCAAATAATGTGTTCTAATTCAAACAGAGGAAAGCAGAACATATCTATATTTGAAGTCTTAATAGGAGCTTATTCTGCCATTTTAACAACAATTGCTATACTAATCAACCAAATAATCCTTCTTTTGGTAAACTATAGTAAAACGTATCATGACAGCTCTATTGTGGACTTCATGGTCCCTCTTATTCCATATTTTTCTTACCGTAAAATAAATCCTACTAAAACACCAAAACCAAGAAGATCTTCATCTGTTAAACGACACCTTGAACTTTCTGGTTCCTAATGAAATGTATTAAAGAAAACTAAAGATTAAAAACGTAATCTTGCAGCTGAACACAACAGGCGTGTAGCACATTTGAATCAGAAAGGAGGAAGAAGTTCATTTGTTTGGGATTTTTTTCAGCTGTTGATTTGGTGCACTATTAAGCATCTATGGCAGCAGGATGTGGGATCAAAGGCGCATTAGTGTTGACGCAAATAAGGAACATGTGGTATGTCCAAGCCCCCAGGAAGTGCGTCGGACTCTGAGGAAAATATTCGTTGTGGCCAAACGGCGGTACTACACTTCCGTATCAGTCGCTGGGCCCAGAAATACTTTTTCCCATTGACTTACATGGGGAAAGAGTGGTCTGTAAATCGTTGGATAATTTTTTTAAAACTAAATAAACTACCCAGTATGAACATTTGTATAGCCCTTATTAAAAACATTCGGTCCTCAAGTTGTAAAATGTGTAATAACGTTATTCTGAGTGTTATTTTCCTCGGCATTATGAAG